GTGTTATAAATACAGGAAATAATTCTTCGACATTAAAAGAATAAAAAAAGAATTTAGTTGGAGTAAGGTGTGTTTTTAGTAGAGACCGAGAAGAAATGTTTTTTTAAGTAAACTCTACCACGAAAGAAACTTAAGATACTGTTAAAATCAATTCCCATATCCAGGAAAATATTTGAGTTTCCAAAAAAGTAGAGATCGTAGTTTTGTAACCCATTGAAGTAGAATGATGTATTAGGTATCAAAGTAAAAGATCCTAAATGTTAAATGGAATAATCTATTTAAATAACTTTTTCTCACATATTGGAGGTTTCATGTCTGCATGTTGATTTTAAGTGGAGTTCTTTTAAAAACCCTATATCCCTGTATATATTACAACTGAAACTCTAAATCAATTTCATGGAATTCTAAAGATAAAATGTTCACAATAGCCAACTGTACCAATTAGTGCTTGCATGGGAGTTACGTTGGAATTGATAAAAATTCCATTTCATGAGGCAATTCATATGCAGTATAACATTATCAGTATACTTTGGTAAATGACGTTTTTAGATATTGCTTTCGTTCTATTTTATTTTCATAAAAGAAACCGTTAATAGAATATATCTATAATAAGATACATATATGAAAAGATATTTAAACAACTTATTTATTATAGTTTACAATTATATGTAGCTAAACAAATTGTATTACAAAATACGTAAGAGCTGTATTGTTTTTATTCTGACCTGTAACACCTATGTAAATAAGTTTAATGAATCGAGTCAACTATAAAAACCTGTACTTTTCAATTGTTTTGCAATCATCACCTTGAAATGAGAGCTGTAACACTAACGCTGCTTTTTGCACTTATATTAGCAGTCTTAGCACATGCTCAACGTGGTCCACCAGGTCGTGGACCACCTGGTCGTGGGCCACCAGGACGCAATCCATTTGGACCAGGACGTCCTGGAAGACCGGGACGACCACGACCAGGCGGACCAGGTCCAGGTCCAGGACCAGGACCAGGACCAGGCAGACCAAGACCGAGCCGTGGAACAAGACCGCCATGTAGTTCTTCTACAGTATCTTCTACAGTATCTTCAACAGTATCTTCAACAGTGACAGCCACTACAACGACAGATGCAACCACTGATGCTACCACCGATGCATCAACCGATTCAGGCAGTACTGAAGCAACTACTGTCACTACAGACACTGAAGCAACTACAGTGGAGGACGACATTGATACCACAGTAGGCTAAAAGTACAGTCCCAAAACTTGTAACCTAGTTTTTGTTGTAAGAACAAGAAATAGAAATTATATAATCGCCAAGTAAAACACAATAAATGAAAATTCTTTAAAATTTTATTTGTGTTATGTTTGTTTTTGTAAATAAGTCGTAAAAGCATCGTGTAAAACAGCTTTCGATATATGGAGAAGAAAAGCAATTGATTCCATTATGAAAATTTATATATAGCTTATACTTTACGTTCATGTAACCAATGAATTTCCTCCATGTTCCAAATTTAATCTAAAGCATTCACCTTTATGGACTAGCAGACAATTAAATAGTAGATATTAAGCTTAAGAACGCTTTGTGAAGGAAGTTATTCTTCAGTGTAGAGAAAGATTTGTGGAAAGGATGGGAATGTTCTTTTGTACCATAATCTGTGTTGTTTAAATATTAAAAAAAATTTTACTTATTTTAGTAGTTGTTATTTTTCGGTGTAACATTAGTGCTAAACTTCTACTTTTTGTCTTATTACTCTATTTTTTTCACTCTATACAGATATGGCTAATTTGAGGAACGTAAAAATTGCAATGTAGATTGTAAAGCAGTTTCCGTTTGTAGGCTAGAAGAGTAAGCATGTCTTTCCTTTTACGACGTAGTAAAATGCATCATTTTGCTAGACAGGCTAGCACTTGAAACAACTATTTGTAAGTTGTACACTGAAAGAAAAAACTCTCCATTATTAACTTTACATCTGGACAGCCAATGGGAATCCTATATAAAAGCAAAGCATGGTGTCCTACAAACGAAAAATATGTGCTAGGTACTTGAGTTGAGAGGCATGTGACTTATCACGTGTTTATTATTGGAAACCTTTATCTTATTGGACATAAAAGGCATCCCAATGGATTAGCTTCAAATTTTTTTTAACAATAGGCGCTCTTCAAATATTCTAGGGATTTGAATACTGTTTTGAATCAGCTGTTTTGAGATCTTCTCTGTTTGTTTCTTATCCGGATATGGTGTGCTGCTAAAACAGCTGCTTCATTTTGATGTTACAATTCTGCAACAGACGTGTTCTCGCACTCTTAAATTTCAGTAGAGCATTCTTGCACTTCATGCACTTTGCAATGATTTTGCAATGAGTTTGCAGGACAGAGTGAATACCTCTATTGTACTTGTTACTGTATAATACTGGTAAGCGGTCTCCATTGAGTCTAGCGATTTCTGATTGTCTTCTGTTAAAAATTATCCTATCGTTGTGAAAAGAGATGGTAAATATAATTATCCATAATTTCTTTTTTGTGAAGTTTATTATTACATAAAATTGATATTGAATATTAAATAAATTAGTTGTTTTTCTTTTTTTTTTTGAAAAACAAAACAAAGACATATTTAAACTAAAAACGTAATCATGTGTTACTTCTTTAGGGAGCCTTAAATATTGTGGAATTATGTTGGGAATGAACCGCAGTTACTAGCATCCATCGACCGCAATTACTAGAAAAAACTCATGCCAGTTCACCACAAAAGGAAATTATTAACAAGTAAAATCTAAAAATGTATGTAGAATGCAGCACAACTTACTCGCAGGCCATGTGGGAATCTAAAATTATTATAAATTATTTCCATTTGTTGCGATGATAACGCAACGTGCGTGTAGGCACGAACATGTGAAAGTACGGAGTGTGCACTTTTGGTACTGGAACTTGCGGTTCGGGCACAATATCAGCAGATGAACAGCATTTAATTTGTTCTACAAAGCGTTTGCTATTGTTACGAATTGAATAGAGCATTCAATGTGTAGGAATTTACAGTCCCTCGTGAGATATCAGCGTAGTACACAACTTGAATACTAAGTGAAATTATTGCGAAAAGAATTTAGTAGCATCGATTGAGATCTGGCGGATGTGAATTTCAATTATGGTATGTCAATTGCTGTTTATGGTCAATGGATCTGCCGATGGGATTGCCTACACTACTTGAAATAAACTTGTTCAATCAAAGAAAATATTCATTCTTAATAAATATCAAGTCAATCAAAACTAAATTAAGAATGTAGTCTTAAATAAGTTCTAAGAACTATCGTATTGATGATGGAGTAAGTTCAAAATTTAAGAATATTCAGTTTATTATTTGAAGATTCTAGTTCCCTTTCAATTGTTGTCAATTTAACATTTAATTGCTTATATTATAATAAAATGCACAAAAAAAATTGCAATAATAATTAAGAAAAGTTTAAAAGAACACTTCGAATACGATTAGTGCTATATCACAAACAATACTAAGGACCCTCGCGAAAGGCAGTGGCAGCTGCTTAATAAAGTTCCTTTATTTTCTTGAGCTTAAAAGAAAGGAATTGTGCGTAAACTCATAAGAAATTTGGAGTACGTAAAACTAAATAGGCCAACATAGGCTAATTTAAACAATAAAATAAATAAAAACATAGATTTATAGTGTAAAACCATGGAAATTATCGATATACCATTGTATTCTTAAAAAGACACTGTATGTTATGGTATTTGGAGATGTGATAAGCATGTACTTTTAAGATATCACAGAAACTTTCCATTCTGATTACCCCAGCCACAGGATTGTCACATTTTTTGTATTCTAATAGGAGATATGGATATGTTATTTCAATAAGACAGTACCACGCTTCTTTTGACTGTAATACGCGTGATGATTCCCGAATTTACAAATTTACGTTCTGATGATGTGAGTTCTTGACTGAAATCATGCTATTTGTTACCACTTAATTTGTTTTGTAGGTGGGAAACACAAGGATCGTCTTTTTGCAGACATGGCTCTAATTCTTTTCGCTTTGGCCAACAAATTGCTGACAATTCTTCAAAATTTATCTTAGGATATCTCTCTCTCTCTGTCTCTTATCCTCATCTCCTAGTGGAGCTTTGGACATAGTACTGTAAAATTACTCATTCAGGGCATGAAAGAATGATATTGAAATTCACTCTTGCAGGTTCGTGAAATTTAACAAAAATTTTAATCACAAGTGCTTTATTGGTACTTATTTTTGGAGTCACAAAATAGGTAACCCATACTAAACTGACGATGGTTTCTCACTATTGAATTGTTCATTTTAAAAATTTATTTTAATTTATTTTTATAGCTCAAGAACAGTGGCAGCTCAGTACTTTAGGGGCCCTCTTCCTTAAGTAACTTAACCAACTTTAAGACCTCTCACTAAACAACATACTGAGCTTTGTCAAGGCTTCCAGATAGTTGTAAACTTCTAGTTTATTAATTATATGGCAGCATCATGGACTAATAGGCCTAAGTGGATTCCGTTTGGATCGCTGGTAAAACCTAACGTAAACTAACCTATATACATTGCATAGATAAATAGAAATAGGTAGAGATTGTTTCGAATAGAAAAACTGAAATCTATACATGGGTACGAGGACGCCACTCCAAACTAACCTGCATAATTACACACATACGTTTTATCATTCTTATAAAGAAATTATTATTTTATTTATGAAACATTAATTAAGGACTTCATCATCAGATCACTACACATATTACTATACATATAAACCTTTTAATGTGAAATGCAATATCATTCTTCCATGTCATAAATAAGTAGTTTTACAATACTATATTCTAAGCTCCACTGGGAGATGAGTATAAGAGAGAGAGAGATATATCCTAAGGTAATTTTCGAAGAATTATCAGCAATGTCTTGGCCAGAACGAGAAGAGTTTGAGGCATGTCTGCATTAATACGATTATCTGTGGTTTCGATCCACAAAACAAATTCTGTGGTAACAAATCCTTTGATTTCAGTGACAAATTCACAGATCGCTATTTTCCGCCTTTATAGGTCAGTTAAGTCATACCTTCGTATTAATAAATTTTTCGTTATAAGTTTCTCTTTTGTAAACAATTTGTACTAAGGTGTCTACATTACAACCGAAAAGTAGAACAAAATACAAAATTCATAGAAATTTTTATTAGAAATATTTTTCATTCCGTTTATGGGAAATTATTTAAACCAACTTGACTTAATGTTAAATGCAAAGCCAAATCAGTCGCTATGACTACTTAAGTTGCAAAAAATGGTAACTTAGGAAAACTAGTGAGTCTATTTGGTGAATAATAAAAAAAGTGTATGAATATAACACAAAAAGCCATAAAATGAAAAGCCAAAATCTTAAAACCATTTAAGGGCACACAAAGCAAAACGTTCAGATACATAATGCAGCAACTAACAAACAGCAGTTTGTACAAATACAGTCGAGTGCGGATGCAGATACTTGGCACAGATACTCGCAATTATAGTAACGTATGCGCTTTTATGTGGAAAAGTGCATGAGAATGCAAGCAATGCAAATAAAACACTAAAAATCGTCTGTGCAGCACAAGATGATGATGACTACTTTCTCGTTACAAAAAGATACAAAATGGTTATTGATAATGAAGCATGCAAGAGATGTTTGAGATAAAATGTTATAGATTCTGCGGCAAGTTCGTGAAACAAGTTCTAAAATTGAAATACATACATTACACGTCTGTTTAAGTAACTTAAGTACTTTGTTTTGCAAAGGATTATGGCTGTGTTACCACCTCATGGACTTCAAAACAAGATAGTCAGACTGATAATAAGTTGCGGAAATATTTATTAGTCACTTAGAAAAATAATAGATAT